TTCACATTGTAATTATGTGTATTATCTTAAATCACTGATTAAATTAAAATGCTTTCTTCTTAACACTTTAATTAATAAACCCCAATAATAAGCTGTAAAAACACTGTCCAGAGTAAAACTAAAGAAAATCATGCAAAGACCACTTGTAAGAGCATGTTATCTTTTTTTTTTTTTTATTGCTGGATTTCAGATAATGCCCCAGAGGCTTCATTTGGGTGGTCAAGTAATTCTGCATGATGAGTAATAAACAAATAATTCTACACCCAATTCTGTTTTATTCTGAGCCGAGATTCCTCATGCAAGTAGTTCCACTTCAGTATTCAGGCATGCAGTTAATCCTAGTTATTTATACGGCTAGTTACCACGCCCTCAAACAAAGGATACAGTAGAGAAGTAGAAAGCTGAACAATAAAATGTTTTTTTTTAAAAGCAAAAAAAATAGACACTATATTTATGACTCAGACATCAACATGGTCATACTCTTCAATTGGAAAACTAAAATCCACATAAAACACTAATGATTTTTACTTTCTAGATTTGAAGGAGCATTCATAAAATTCAAATACCTGTTTTTTGAATTGTATTTTTTTTAATAAATGGCTTATCACTGATGCTTTTGTATCTTACTTAGTAGTAAAATAGTAGTTTTAACAAAGCCTTTTTTTCTGTTAAGTGTTGTTGTTCTATATTGTCTTTGAGCAGTACATGTTTAGTAATATTAACCAGTTCAGCTTTTATTTACTGACTTTTATTTTTTTCCCCTGCGAAAAATAATTGAAACCTGCTTGTTTTACTTTTGTTGCTAGTGAAAATCATAGGGTCCACAGGATTTTCAGAGCTTTGGGATGCAGTTACGTTGTAGGAACTGAGTATCTTAAAATCCTGTCCAATTTTGCAACTTTATATGTCAAAAATTCTCTTATTATATTTTTAATTATTATTTTTAGTTACTTTTCCTTTTAGTCACCCACTCCAAAAGACTTCAGTGGAAAATCTAGAAAGATTTACTCTATTAGTGTTCTAACTAAAAACAGAGTTTGGCAGCTAATCTTTCCTTAAATATCTAAACATCAACAACTACTCTGCTTCCCCTCTGGAGCAAAATGTATGCTGTACCCTAGATAATGAAACACAGAATGTGAAATATGTATGCATACATTTTGATATATGCATACTCTGGCAAGGCTTCTTAGAAAGTACAAATGCAGCTCAAGTTCAATGAAGAATTGAATACTATACTCCAAGAGATTTATCTGCTTTTTTTTAAGGGTCAGATTTTCACACACCCCCCTTATACAGGCTAATTCATCAGAATTACAAGTGAGATTTGATCAGCGTCAATCAAATACGGAGGGGGCTCATAACTGAGTCCACTGGGTCAAAATCTTTGAAGGAAACACTGCTGCTTCATCATAACCTGACTGGACTACATCTGCAGGCAGCAAATATGGTCAACTTCACTTCACATAAATATTTAGGAATCATAAAAAGTGCTGTATGTGTAGATAGTTTCCGAACATTTCATAAGGTACTCATGTGTACATGACTACCCTGCCAGTATACACTGATAAGTAGCACTCTCAAAGGGTCCTGCTACAGATTGCCTTTTATTGGGAATACTTTCTTCAGATTTCAGTTCGGCTAAACCAAGAATTAAGTAAAAAGATCTTCTGTGGCTTCTCAACTACTTTAGAAATTGAATTTAGAAAATCTTTTGCAGCTGTGGCTAGCACTGTTTTGGCTGTACATCGTGACTGAGTGCTACCATCTTGTCTTGGTTGTTCTTAACCATAAGCAACTGTTCCCCTTACTTTAAGATTCAGCTATCCAATTTTTAAAATTATTTTTTATTATTGCAATCAATACTTTGAGCCATAGTAGACATACTAACTGACATTAACAAGAAAAGAAGCAAACAAATAAATAGTTGTGAACAAGTGCAATTTAAAAGCAGAATGTAACTATATAAAAGAAAAACTGTGTTATTGTGCCTTAAGAAAAATTCCCACAGGAATAAATTTCTCATTGCTCCTTTATGTTCCAGGGTAGCAGAAACATATTGAAAAAATGTATTTGAAAAACAGTATTATTCACAGTCTGAAAGAGGAAGTAAACTAATGGTTCTCCACTTTCTGGGTGGGCACTGTTTCCACAGCAGGCTTCTCCAGTAAGGTTCTTCTTTGTCATCCAAGAAACTGTCTAAATGGACCAAGGAAGATGATAGCTACTAACCTCTATAATACACTTACTAGTTTTAGATCTACCCAGCTGCCTGTTAGGATACTGTACTGAAGCTTTTGTAGTTTAGCTTAGCTTACCCAGTGCTAGTTCTATCTAATTTTTTTGAAAGTTCAAAGCATAGGCTGTGTGTTGACAAGAAGGGTTGTGTATTTTGTTTTCCTTTCAAATGTGAACTGTGGTTAAGTATAAGGAATTTTTTTTTCCTCCATTTTTGTTTCCTTGCTGAATTGACTGGGAATAGCAGAATTGCAGAATCTCCATAACACTCCCCCCTGCGTGCACGCATACAAATCTTAAGTCACTTAAGCTGTTGCAACTCAGATTCTTGTTGTCAGAGTTCATTAATTCAAATTAGTGTAATAAATTGTACACTTTCAGTTTGGCCCAAGGGAGCTTTTAAAGTCTTTTTTGCCTATGGATTCCTCAGATGCTAACTATTACGGTATTTTACTGTAAGGTAGTCTATGAACAGAATGGCAATGAGAAGGGCTTGACAAGAAACAGAAGTATGTAACACAAAACACCAAAATACTCACATTTCCCTTCACCTCTGCTAATACTTTTTCTTTTTTTTCTATGCCCCAGAAAGTAGAACTTCAATAGCAGGCACCCAAAGCCTCTTATGAGCCTCTCTGTAAGGGCAGCTGTTGCTTCATTTAGTACAGAGAACAGAAATACTTCCTTTTTTTTCTTCAGATAAAACCATAAATCTCAACAGAATGCATCAACTCCAGCTTACTGTGCCACAAGGCCAATTTTTTTCATTTTCTTGGTTTCTTTGAAGTCATCTGAGCAAAGGAGGGAAGTGATTTGGGACATAGCTGTGCCCTGTGATGGAACTTTTTTTTTTTTGAGTTCTGAAGACATCCTCAGTGTCAAACCAGTCACATCACTATTCTGTTTACTTTAGACAGCGTTCACTCTTTTGAAGAAGCTACTAATGTCTTGAGTGATCTATTCTGAACATAATTTATTTTTTGCTTCTAAAGAAAAAGGTGCAAGGCATGGAAATGATTTGTTGGCCATAGCTACATCACTGTACAGTGATGCTGTCAGCTCCACTAGCAGTATTTATGATGACAATGTTCTATGAAAGATAGGCAACTGTACTTTAAGGTCTACATGCAGAAAAACAAGGCTCTGCTATACTAAAAGAATGACATGAGAACCAACCACAAATGTGTAGTTAAAGGTAAGGGACTGTAGTATTTCTAACTCCTGGAGATTCAATGGAGCGTTATGGAATTAAACTCCATATCATGTTATCTGAGGACTAATGGAGCAGAACAACTCAGATTAGAAGAGATGCACAGACCCTGAACAGCTAGAAGTCCATAAAGAGGCACCCAGCTAGATGCTTGCTACCTCGTAATATCTATCTTCAACAAGCAGCAAGAGGGCAAGATGCAGCATGTGCCTAAGGACAACCCTACTGTACTCCATGTCCTGGCAATCACACAATTCATTTAACTGCTAACAGTTTTTAGCACATTATCCTCATATAGGCACATCCGGATAGAAAGATGATGGGAAATGTTTTTTCAGTGACTCAGGTTATCTGTATGCTTAATGAGGGGGAAAGCTCTGCCTTCCTTCACATAAATAAATAACCACCATGTGCCTAAAATTCTGTCAAAATTATAAATATTTTATATGAAAATGTTTCAAGGCAGATGGTTTATCTAAAAATAAATGCTATTTCATTTCAGTGAGAAGTAAAAACATATCTAAGACATTAAAATGGAAAAGAAAAATACTTGGGTAAGCTGCTTTAATTAGAATGGCATTAAAGAGTTCATTACTCTATCTCAAGTTAAGTAGACATGACGTCATGCTAGCAGACTGGTTTTAATTTGTTCCAAATACTCAGTTAGAATGATTTATATCTCAATATTTCTGGCAAAGACACTTAGGAGAGTTAACTATCTTTCCTGAAAAGCACAAGTGGCTTTTGTTGACTAAATTGGGGTGAAGAATATCTACATGCATGTTTAATTAAAATATAATGAGCTGTTTAAATTGGTTACTCTTAAGCATCTCCAATACAAACCTGATTCTAGCACTATCATTTTATAAAGAAGGCCTTTTAACTTCTTTTTTTCTGACTTTGCATTTTTTATTCACTGTTCAGTTCTGAAAGAAATTTACAGGATGGAACTTACAGGGTGGACTAAGAACCTTGTTGACCCTACAGTAGTAGGTACTCTGCTGCAGTTTGCTATCTCTCCAGACATAGTAATGCAACTCTATCAGAAGGGCTTTTTAAATTTTTCTTTTTTTTAAAATTATTTAAATTATTTTGATTTTTTTTCAGTAATGCATCTTACTGAGCAGCCACACATGCTGTTGTTCCAGTGCAATGGGAATGAAGTTTCTCAGCAGACTAAACCAATCTAAACCAGCTTTACCATGATCCTCCCTCCCTTTCTCTGGTGTTCTCCATTCCTCTTATGCTGGCACTGATGATTCCCAGTGACTCAAAGCTGGTTCAGAGGACTTAACAGAAATCTATTAGGGCTCTCCATAGAGTTTCAGAGCTAGCACAAGAGAGGGGGTGGAGGATCCAAAGCAAAATATTAAATTGTGATTATGTCTGTGCTCAGACTGGCTTAATTGGTCACAGAATTGAAACTTGAGGGTATGGCAAACACTAACATGGGGGACACAAGCTGCCAGGGCAGAAAAGAAAACTGGAAACTTCTGAAGCTGGCTTTTACAGCAATGCCAGCATCCTGAGTAATTTCATCCACAGGGTTAAGATCAGCACAGATGGAGCCCAGAGTCACTCATAACATATTGGGTCCACTCTATCTCCCCATGTTGTGTGCTGCAGTACAAAAAGCAGAGGACCAGCAGATTTTCCACAGGTAAGAGTCTGTCCTCGAAAGAAATCTCTACGGGTCATGTTCAGATAGGGAAAGAATCTAAAAACTCTTGTAAGTAGCATAGTTATTGAAGACAGTGCCTGTTGTATCACTTCAATACTTGAGGTGCTTTCTTTGACTTTTTTCATCCTCACTGTATTAATAAGTATTAACTGCTAGCCCTGTTAGTTGAACTCTTTCTTCAGGTGATTTTTGTCTGGGATAGTTTTTTGTGATTTTTGCAAGCAGAGCTGTAGATCAGAGCGAACATTCTGGATGCATGTTCTCCCAGTGAAGGCTACTTGTGCTCATGTAGAAAAAATATGCTCGAGCCTACGAGGACAACATCATGTCTGATGAATGGGGAAGAACTGTGGAGTCCATTGGCAGACATAGTATTGCTAGAAAGAGTTTTTTAAACTCTCTTTTTAAAAGTAGGCTTAAAAGCAAGCATTGCCACATTCTCAGTATTTATGCTTTAAGGGGATAATAATGTCAGAATAAATTCAATCACTGTTCAAGGTTGGAAGGATTTCTTGGAAAAGTCTAAAACAACTCATTAGGGACAAAATCAACAGTGGCATGAAGGATTTCAATTATGTTACATACAAATTAATCTAAAAGAATAAGGAAGAAGAAAAGTCAAAATGATGTCACTTTTATAAGTTGATTGCTTTGGCATATATATTTCCCTGTATTATTCCATAATAGCTGCCATAAACTTAATGGAAGGTTCAATATTTTTATTTCAGTGTATTTGGCCTGACTGGGAGGATAAGGATCAGTGGGAAACACTAAGTATGCTTACTTAGAAAAAAAAGTCTAAAATATCACTGTCCCCTCTGGATGTTAAAGTAAGAAGGAAAAACGAGTTAAATTCTGGCTATGACCAAATGTGGATGACAATAGTTAACGTGGGATTCCCATCTCAGTAGAAATTTACTTCAGCATCAGCGACATTCAACAATAGAAGGAAATAGTGGAAATCAATAGCAGGATTTCCTTTGACAATTCACTTTTATTCTTTCTTCCCTTAAGTCCCTTTATTCTTGCCCAGTAAAATTGTATACATCAGTGGCAGCTGGAGGGAATGCAACTTTAGGTCCTGAAAATACCTCAATCCATCAACAAGGAGGTGTGGCAGCTGGTTGCTGCTGTCATACAGGAAGGAAACTGTAGCCTTCACTTTGAGCCATGAGAAGCAAGTCAAGAAGGGGACACTCGTGCTTTGACAGTGAACACAGTGGGGTCAAGATCCAGGGGTAAGTTGTGAGTAAAAGATACCATCATGCAAACTTGCTTAGTCACTTGTTTCCAGCAGATACCACTGTATATGTAGATATGTTCACAACAAGAAACTGAGATGCTGCCTGTACCTGCACTAGTAGGAGTATCTCTTTAGGAATTAAAATTCCCTCTTGAAAATCTAGCCTCTCCACTTTCTACTGTGCTCACAACACCATGAATAGAAGCTGAACTAGATCTCACTCTTGGGTTTTAAACGTAACTAGTTTGATCAATACTGTCTGAAAAAACTGCAAAAGGAGATAATGGGAGATTAATTTCAGAAGGGAATTCCTAAAGAAAAATGATAAGACTGATGTTCCTACAGTAGCTCATTCTCCTCTGCTTCACTGGAGAACAAATCACAGGAGCCCAATAACAGAAGAAATGGAGATAAGCTGCACTTGGGTAGGAATTACTGCAATGGACCTCTGTAAGTTGGATCCTGTTACTCACTTCAGGGTCACATCAGAGTGATTGGTCTTCCAATCAGGGGCTGTGTGATCACAGCTAGGACACTGCTGAGAATGCCTAAGCTGCTACAGTGTGACAGAATGAACAAAACCATCTGTGCAAGGGAGTACATAGCTTAACCACATAATACACCTCCAAATAAAGTGTTTCTTATCCATTAGCTTTACATGATTTTTGAAGTTACTTATGAAGAAAAGCTAGGAAAGAAAAGAAGATTATCAAGACAAGAATATCATGTTCAGAGCTGTAGAAAATTAACACCTGTTTTCTGTTTCATTTGTTTTTCAGAGATCTACTGTATCCCATTGTTGCACTATGTGTGCAGTTAGCAGCAGCCTTGCACAAGGCAGCTGAAGGATACTGACTCAACAATTAGTTGGCTGCCTGGCTTCTCTTGAGTAAGCAACAGTGTCTAAAGAAAACACTTGGAAGAGCTCAGAAAGATTACTGTGAAGGAAAGCATCATATGCAATATGATTCTTCTTACCCACTGCAAAAAAGCAATGAACTCAAACCTTTAGAAATGCAAGTCATTTTTCTTTAGAAGGCTGCAGGAAAAGCAGTGTTTTTAGAGGAAATGTGAAAAAGGAAGCTGGCAAAACTCATAATATGCCCAATTCTGTTAACACATCATATAAGAAATATGAAGAGAAATTGACTATCTTACACAGCAATCAGGTTATATTTTATTATGTCCTGTACAAAATATAGCTAACTGTACTCACTAAAAAAAGTAGTTTTGTTATGAAAACTTTATTAGTGCTTTGGCTTGTATAGACTTCTGGCTGGAACATCTACCTCAACCCACAGAATAATTGGGGTTGGAAGAGACCTCTGGAGATCCTCCAGGCCAACCTCCTCCTAATGCATGTTCCCTAGAGTAGGTTGCATAGGAAAACATTGAGGTAGGTCTTGAGTATCTGCAGAGTAGACTCCACAGACTCTCTAGGCAACTTACTCCAGTAATCTGTCACTCTCAAAGTAAAAGACTTTTTCTCATGTTCATGGTTTGTTATTTGTGTTTCAGTTTGTGCCCATTGCTCCTTGTTCTCTTGTGGACCACCACTGAAAAGAATCTGACCCCATTTTCATGGCTCCGGTCTCATAGTTATTTGTAGGCATTGATGATAAGAATCCTCTCCGCCTTCTCTTGTCCAGGCTGAATAACCCCAGGGCTCTCCACCTTTCCTCATAAGGGAGATGCTCCAGGCTTAAATCAATCCACTGGACTCTAGAAGTTCCTCATCTTGAACTGTGTAACACAGAACTGAACATAATGATTGAGATGTGGCCTCATCAGGGCACAGTAGATGGGGAGGATAACCTCCGTTGATCCTATGGCTGCTCTTCTTAATGCACCCCAGCATACCATGGGCATTCTTGGCCACACAGGCACATCTCATTGTAACTTGTTGTCCACCAAGACACCCAGGTCCTTCTCCATAATGCTCCTTTCCAACAGCTCAGCCCTGACCTGTATGCAGTTATTTCTCTCCAGGTGTCAGACTCTTCACTTGCCTTTTTTGAACCTTGTAAGGTTCCTCTCTGCCCAACTTTCCAGCCTGTTTAGGTCTCTCTGAAATGGCAGCGCAGCCTTCTCGTATGTCAGTCACTCCTCCCAGTTTTGTATCATCAGCAAACTTGCTGAGGGTGTGCTGCCCCTTCATCCAGGTCACCGATGAAGATGCTAAACAAGACCAGACTCAGCACTGATCACTGGTGAGCACCTCTAGGCCTCCAACTAGAGTCTGTGCTGTTGATCTCAACCTTCTGTTCTCTGTCAGCCAGTTAGTTCTCAATCCACCTCAGCTAGGTTTCAGTCCACCAGTGATGTTCAGACTTATTTCACAATGCTTGGAATATATACTTAAAAATATGTTGCTTATATACTAAAAATACTTGATTATATACTTAAAAATATTTTGACCTAGATAATTATAAGAATTTCATCAACTTCTTCATTCCCTGATTTAAGATTAAAGTTTGGGTGTTGTTGTTGTTTGTTTTTTAAATTCATTTCATTTTTTTGTGATTTTTTTTTCTCCCTCAAAGAGAATAAGGTAAGATAAACATCAAACATTAGCTACTATCATTATGACTTCATTTAATGTGCATAAAGATACAGACTGAAGTTCATCATGCGTTATACCTGGGAAAGATATTCAGAAGATCGATTTGAATCCAGTATGAAAAAACATTTATGTTATTGGTGCTGAGATTTTTCTGTGGTCTACTAACAGAACAAGGACTGAGACGAGGTTATTTATTTCTTCCTTTCTAACTCACTGTGCCAATACCATGTCACCTGACCGCAGCTGGTACTTAATAGCTTTTAACCAGCATCCAATTCTCTATAGTAAAACTCTTTATTTTAAAAAGAATTATTTATCATTATTGCTACTATTATTTCAGTAAAAATACAGTTGTAAAGTATATGAAATTGCATGATTTTTCCCTGGCTCTCCAGAATTACATGTTCGTTAAGCAATCCTTATATGACCATTTTCATTCACACTAAATAAGAAATCTTTCTCTGTAATGCTACAGCTCTTGCTTTTGATTATTTCCTTAACTGATGACTTCTGAAACAAACAAACAAACAAACAAAAACAGCTCAAGTAACCAAACCTATTGTCCTTTGGTTTCTATATCTATTGAAATGTGCTTACTTTGTCAACTTCCATCTTTCCATCAGAACATACTGTACTCTGGTTTGGGGGGGTGAGGGGGGGACGACATGGAACATTTGCATACTGGGGTCAAAACACGTGTACAATCATAAGACACTGCTAAGTCATCCTTTGAGTTCTGAATGTTGTTAATAAAAGCTGTTTTCTTCCATCAGTGATCAAAGCCTCCATTAAGACTAAATGACTTATATAAAACTGAACTCACAATCCAAAGCCTCAAAGGAAACCTCCAGAGAACACACTCACACACCACTGCTTTTCAAAACTTTTCTCAGTGACTGATCTCAGCACAGATCAATGGATATATCAAGTCTGATATGATTGTACTACAACTGGGGCTTAAAATAAGCAAATAGGCATGTTTGGCCCACCTTGCCTCTCACACTCATATCAGTGCAGATTAAGATTTACACTGGATTAACTTTGTCTGACAAATATTAGAAGCTGTACCAGTTTCTAGGAAACCAAAGGTTCTCATGAGACTGTAAGTATTTCTAAATTCTAGGTTTAAAGCTTTTCTTCTTTAACTTAACATTAGTAAAACATAGCTTTTAAGAGACTCACTGTAAAGGTTTGATCCTCTTAAAAAAAATAAAATAAATTTTTAAAAAAGGAAAAGCGTGCACATCCAGCCACTTACCAGGAAATCATACAATGTTCTTGATTACTGAATTGTTAACATACAGGACTGATATTTTCTATTCACATTATACACCCACTTTACCTTGTACACTTGAGAAACCTTCAGCCCCCTTATAACTATTTACGAGTATCGCTGACTAATTGATGCAACCTGAGAGATGACCCAACATCCTCTAATGACAACAGAAGTTTTCCCATGCTTTAAAGGATTCTTTTTAATTTCCTTTTGACTGCATAAAATAAGTGGAACTTTATTTTCTGTGTTCAGTTTTCCTTGAGAGGCTTATTAAGGGTTAAATAATTCCACAAACCATAACATGAACTGATTTGTGATGTTTAAAAGCTGGTAAAAATAGACACTTCTGTGATTTTATTTTCTTTGCTACTTATTTACTTTTGTTACACAGATAGACAACTATCCAGATTAGGCAAGTAGATATCTAATGTCTAGGAGGAAGAGATAAAGAAAGAGAAAAGAAGAGATAGGTATGATCAAGAGGACAAGAAACACTGATTTCAAAGGTTGGGAAATTTAACTTTAGTAACAGTATTAGAGTTCTATATGAACTGGATGGATTGAGAGCATTACTTTTGGCTAAGCAGTTTAGAGAAAACACTCAGGCTCAGGAAAACAATTTTAGAAACCTTTTTCTTCAATTAAAAAAAAAAAAAAGAAGAAGAAGATTTCAGATACATTTCAAGATCCTAGATGGCTTTTGCCAGACTAAGTTCCTATTGAACATTGTCATCACACATGTAAGTCACTGAGAGAAAGCATGAGTGAAGTCATAAGAGCGAGTTATGCGTTGCCAGCTCTATAAGGAGAGAAAGGATATTGCCAGGTCATCACTATTAACAAGTTCTCAGACTTTTCCTGCACGCTGTGAAGGACTAGGTCGTAGTGTTGAAGCTGTTGAAGCTGCAGTGCATTTCCTTCCCAAACCTGAGACAGGAAACAGAAGCACAAGGGAACAAAAGAAGCAGCAGAAGCCAGAGACAGTTCCATTATAATCACATGTGACTCTGCGAAATATTTCCCTTCTCTTCCTCCATAAAAATACCTACATTAAACAGAGATAAGAAGCTGCTCAAGAAGGAGGACTTCAGTCTTTCATGGATTTGACCTTTTATACTTTATATTCAAACTTTTGACTCATGATTAGCATTAATTATCCTTGCAAGCAAAAAGCCTGAAGTGTTTGGCTGGTCAACCAGGAAAGACTGGTAAATTACAAAAGAAAAGCCTTCTGGATTCCCTCCCTCTGATTTCAAAGGGGATTCAACGGATTTATTGCTTAAAAATGTAATTTTTTAAAATTGCTTCTTTTTCTTTTTCCCTGAGCTAAACATTTGCCCTCATTTTTTCCTGGAAAGATACCCACCCTAGTATGGCAACTGAGTCAAGATTAATAAGTCAGTGTTATTGCTAAACTGAAGACACTAAAAGAATATTTGCATTCCAAGCATCTGCTGACTCCAGTAGGCTTTGTACTGAGATCTCCAGGGATAACATAATATGAAACTAAACAGGTTTTCCAGTAATCACAGTAATTCATTCTTTCTAATGCAGCAAGACACATAAAAGATCATTATTAACCAAGAAACTTTTTAGAATATTAAACACATTTTCTCCCAATTAAGTGCACTGAGGATACATTTTAATTGCTCCCTTCAGCATTAATCATTGAAACAAACAAACAAAAAAATTAATTCACATTCCCACTGAAATGGTTAAATGCTGAAAGTTATGAAGGACCTTTCCATAGTAGAATTGGCAGTATTACTTCTGGGCTAATGCATATAATAAAGGAAATTAAAAGAGGTTGCAAAGGAAAAGTAGAAGTAGAGCTGGCTCTTATTGAGTCAATGGCAAAAATCCTTAGCACTACAATAAGACAAGAACAAGACCGAACAGCATGAGTTTGCTGCAAAGCCAAGAGAAATTTTAAAACATAAGTAATGAAGAACAGCAAAACAATGAATACTAAAAAGTTAGATATCACAGTTATTAATACATAAAATAATTTTCCAAATATACATTTTAATTTGCTTTTAGGATTAATATGCAAGTTATAAATACAAAGAAAGGATTTATTTTCCTAGGCAGTTTGTTTTTTTCTCCTCACAGTACACATGCAACATAAATGCATTCATATTTGTGTATATCTGTACCATGTGTGTCTGCAAAGAGAGAAGGACAATAGTAACATGGGCAGGAAATAGAAAATGTTCCATTTTCTAAACTTATCCTTGCCTCCAAATCATTACAATGCCAGATTTTATCAGGAACTCTTCTTTAAAAAAAAAAAATTAAAGAGAATTTCAGTTCCAGATGGAGTCTACAGTGATGTTACAAAGATAATATAAGGAATAGAAAGTGGAAACAGATGTGTCATTTTCACAGAGATGGATTACATTAGCGTAAAACTCTCCAAACATTATGCAAGTTGTGACATCTGCAGCAATAAGTTCAGACCTGAGCAGATCTTTTCACATCCCCCTGTAGATTTCCTGGTTTGATTGGCCACTTCTAACATTTCAGCTTCACAGATTATAAGGGATCCTCTAGCCCGACACCTCAAAGACTACAGATTTTCTAGAATCAATTCTTAGAATCCCAGAATCATTAAAGTTGGAAAAGATCTCTGTAATGCTAACATGGGATCATAATAGCAGGGTGACAAAGTCTTTGGCCACAGCAAATGAGAAGAAACTCAAAAGCATACATGCAGAAACAAAGGGGGACGAGGGGGGAAAAAAGGAGACAC